CTCAGTCTGTTTAACCTGCCTTTAAGAGAACACTGTAAGCAACCTTACTGTGCCTTGGATTTCCCATGCAGTCAGCCTTGACAACGTAAGGTACAAACATAGCTCTCTTCTTAAGTTACACACTGTTCCATATCCCTGACCCTGGAGGGTGTGTGTGTGTGTGTGTGTGTGTGTGTGTGTGTGTGTGTGTGTGTGTGTGTGTGTGTGTGTATGTGTGTGTGTGTGTGTGTGTGTGTTCATGCTGTGATGATCATTTGCTGAAATGAGCTAACAGGTGGGAAGGAACCTTAAAACAAACATCCACCATAAATGCTGAAAACATGTGGATGTAGGTTGGTAATGCCTGTCTGTGGTGTTGAGTGCTATTCAGGGCCAGCAGTAAAGTGGCTTCGCTGTTAAAGATAATATAAAGATTCCCCCAATACTTTCTCAGCTAGGGTTTCTGTGCTGTCCAAGCCCTTTGCTATACAGACTCGCAGTTTCAGAGGCACAACACACAGGAACAGAGACAGATCATATTCACAAAGCAGACTACATACGGGCCAGAAACCAGAAGATACAGGGAACAAAGTTGGGAATTCAAATTTAGGCTTGCTATTGGTCAAATTAATCGAAGCAGAAGCACATTGTTTTTATTGCTTAATGTGACATCCACACATTTTGGTATCTCCTCAGGTTGTCTTTAATGTGTTAAGAACACATGACAATGTGCGTGGGAGTTCCCAGAGAAAACTAAGAAAAAGAGCCTCTTGGAACATAGGTAAAACTGTCCTAAAGGCTCTAAGCTAGGGGGAGAAGAGGTGAGAAGGAAGAAGCCTGCTAGCTAATGTAGGCATTCCCTTCTTACTTTCTAAAGTAACGGTTCTCAATTTGTGGGTTGCGACCCCTTAGGTAAACCTCTACCTCTGAAAATGTTTACATTACTATTCATAACAGTAGCAAAATTGCAGTTATGAGGTAGCAATGAAAATAATTTGATGGTTGGGGGTCACCACAACATGAGGAACTGTGTTAAAGGTCACAGCAACAGGAAGGCTGGTTCTGTTCTTGACAACAGAACCACTGCTGTAAAGCCTTTGAAACTGTGAGCCAAATAATCCTTCCTTCTTCAGATTTTGTTACTTAGGTATTAGTCACAGTGACAAAATATTTGACTAACACATCATCCAAGTCAATCAGGAAAATACTAAAAAGTCACTCGACCTGTGCCACTAACATCTGCCCAAGGAGAGACATGGACCCATTATTACCTAGTATTCCAAGGCTTCCCTCATCAACAGGCTGAATCCAAAACACTGTGTCCTATTCACAGCAGTATTATTAGTTGATCCAAATCTCAGATAGCACACTCACCAACTTTCCCTAACCATCTTATAGGTAACAGAAAAATTCTCTGATTTTGAATCAGGGTCTTACCATTTAGCCCCGGCTAGCCTTAAACTCAGGATGCAGTTCTGACTCATCTTAAAATTCACAATTCCCCTTAGCCTCCCAAGTGATGCAATTACTGGCATGTGCCATGAAACCTGGCTGAAAAGGAGACTTAAACAAGAACAAAATGTCTAGCTCACTCTGAAGTTCCCACTGCCCAAGCATGAGGACCAGAGTTCAATCCCTAGCATCATAGTTAGGCGTGGTGGGGTGCATTTGTAATCCCAGCACCAGGGAGGTCAACACAGGAGGATCCCTGGGACTTGCTGGCCAGATAACCTAGCCTAGTCAGGTACCACGTGAGAGACCCTGTCTCAATAAACAAACAAACAAACAGCTGGGAGCTGGAGGGATGGGGCTAGAGAGATGGTGCAGTGGTTAAGAGCACTTGCTCCTCTTGCAGAGGACCCAGGTTAGGTTCCCAGAACCCAGAGTGGCTCACAATTGTCTGGAACTTCAGTGCCAGGGAATCAAACACCCTTGTCTGGCCTCCATGAGTACAAGGCACACATGTGGTATACATACTCATATGCAGGCAAATATTCATACATGTAACATAAAAATATTTCCTTTTTAAAAAAGGTGTGGATAGCTGTCCTGAGAAACAATTATCTGAGGCTAGCTTCTGGCCTCCACATACAAGTGCACATCTGGGCACATGTACCTTCCACATATATCTTCCATATATATGAACACCCACCCACACAGTCATTCATACATACACATTTTTTAAATGTATTTTAAAAATATCAAACTATAATAGTTTTTTTTTTTTTTAATTTTTCTAAAAATGTATGAGTGCTCTGTCTGCATGTATACCTGCACGCCAGAAGAGGGCAATAGATCCCATTTTAGATGGTAGTGAGCCACCATGTGGTTACTAGGAATTGGAATCAGAACCTTTGGAAGAACAGCAGCCAGTGTTTTTAACTGCTGAGCCATCTCTCCAGCCCCAGCCCCCTTCTAAATTTTATTCAGTAGTTTTATTTAAATGCCATGATAAAAAACATAAAAGTTTACCCAAAGAAAGTATCTCAAACAACACAAAAATCAAAGAATATTGTTACAAAGGAAGGTTGGAGGACTGACAGACAGGTCATTACATAGCTCCAAAATAAACTAGAAATCCTCTAAAAAATGATACATAATTATCATTTATATATATGTATATATATATACACAAATATATAGGGAAAGACATGTATATAGATATATAGATATGTATCTCTCTTTATATATATATACATATATATATATATATACATATATATATTTTAAATGAGTCTAGGAGAAGATAGAAGCCACACCATTGTCTACAAGAAATGCTGTCTTTAAAATTATGTAACTGTATGAACTTTTAAGCATTATAATGTAGCCATAGTATAAATAAGCATGATTAGTAAATGTAATCCTTGGAAATTATATTCAATTTTCAAAGAAAAAAAACACTCTTTTCTAAGTCAAAGCTTTTGCCTTTTCTACCGCCATCTGTAGTTATTAAGAAATGAAAATGAGCAGCAAAATGTCCAGCAGGCAAGGGCACTTGCAGCCAAGCCTAACGACCTGGGTTAGATCCCTAGGACCCACGGAGAGGTAGAAGGAACTAATACTGATCTTTACATTAACACCATGGCATGCGTGTGTCACCCACCCTACAGACACACACAATCAAAGCAGAATTCTAAAACTTAAAAAATGGAAATGTCTTTTCAAGTTACCCAAGTGTATTGAACTCTATGAACTGCACAATTCACATTGGGGAGTCAGGTTGAAATATTTTTAAATGCTAATGTATGTGAATAAGGCATAACCCACACAAATTAACATTCAGCACTTGGAACTGAAATCCAAACAAAGATAATTCATGAATATGGTAATAACTATTCTCTGGCACAGCATCTGAATGCACTTTATGCTTTGAAGCACATTTTAAGTAAACTTCCAAAGCTCATCTTCAAGTTTAAGAACTGCCACCCGGCAAGTCGTTACGCACAATCTGGGATTTGTGACAGTTTGCCAAAGCTAGATTATAGTTAGTTTTGTTATTTATTCACATAAAGTTTTTAGAGCCTGGTGCCAACAAGTTTGTATGTGACAAGTATAACTTCAAGAAACTAACTATAAATACTTCAGACTTAGTCACGTAATTAGAAAAATATTTTCATATGCTACTTAAAAATAATCATATACACTGAAGCCAAGACTTCACTTTCCATACCTTCTTAGGTTAGCATACACTTAATCCACACTGCAAGTCACATTATTATAAAACACCCTAAATTGGTTGTCTTCACTAAACTCCCAGTTTTCTCTTATGAACTCATTTGATGTACTAAAAAAAAAAAGCAAGGTGAATATGGTTCATATCAGTAACTCCAGCTCTCGGATGGAGGTTTGAGGCTAGCCTGGACTACACAGGAAGCTCCTGTCTCAAACCAAAGCAAATTCCAACAGTTTTGTTTTAGTGGTAAGAAAATTAAAAGCATAATGGTATCCCTCCTTCGTCATGTGTGAAAGTCGCTGGCGTGCGTCCTCTACTCCATGAGGCTGTCGTAAACACAAGTGCTCAGCAGCACTGAACTTGGCTGCACACTCCTCTGCTGTGCCCTGCTCACTGTGCACACTTCCCTCACGTGGGGTTTAGTCTCCACACTCAAGTCACCTTAGGTCAACCGTTACCATCATGGCTTCCTTCTTAGGATCAGAAGCTCAACAGTAGCTGCCACCATCTACTCAGATGACATGGCCTACCTCACCAAGCTCACTTCATCATCTTATGCAGAAATTGTACCTCACATTATTGCAGAGTGGTCAGAGGACCACACTGTTACTGGGGAGGCCACAACCAACAACTAACATTCCAGAAGATCGTCACAACTGTCCTTTTTCCTAAACAGTTATTAACAACCTTCCTCTTCTGCTCCTCCTCCAATTATAACAATCTCCCCTACCTCCTCCTGCGTTTATGTTTGAGACATGATCTCCCTCCCTCCCTTTCCTCCAAGCTTCTTCTAACTCCACCGATTGAGTCTTGGGATTACAGGTGTATGTCACCATGTCTAGCTTGTCTCTATTAATTTCTTACTCAGCCTAATTAATAAACTAACTTTTATCACAGTTAAATATGTATCTGGGCTGTGAGGTAGTATGTATAGGGTTCAGGATTGTCTAACATTTCAGGTACCCACTAGAGGTTGTTGAATGCACTCCCCACAGATAAGGGAACTAGAGTCATCCTTTTCTTACATCTTACCTTTTTACAGTCGGACAACTAATGTTGGAGCAGGGCCTTCAAGATGGCTTGATAAAAGCAATTGCTGTGCAAGCCAGCTGACCTGAGTTCCGTTCTCAGAACCCACGGTCCCTAAATGCAGACAAGAACTAACTCCACAAAGTTGTCCTCTGACCTCTATATGCATGCCAAGACACGTGCATTCCCATGTGTATGTGTGTGCACATGTGTGCAAAGACAGACAGACGGGGACACACACACACACACACACACACACACACACACTTAGAAAAAAAAAAGAACGTTAGAGCAAATCTTGTCCCTTAAAGCTGCTTACCTGAATGTATTTCCGCTGGGTTTCATCATTTAAAACATGTGCAACATGCTTGGAAAAAATCTTTTCCCTACCAGTTCTGGCATGGATGCCAACCATAGTGACACCAATAGGCCAGGGAGCATTTCCAATGGCCATCTGAAGGTACGCATCATTCGCCTGAAAGGAAAGTTTAAGAAATCAGAAAGGCCAAAAACAAACTGATTCAAATGTTTATTTCAAGTATTGCATAGTCCTTCCTGACTCACTTTTTATCTACTTCTTGATGAAAATATTGTTCCATTGCTCAAATCGAGACATTAAAGTATGGGGTGACTTACTGCCCTGCCCAGAATACAAACGCCTGTGAAAACAGAAGCCAAGGCTAAGCATGTGAGAAAGACAAACACCCTTTCTAGCCTTTGGGCACTGAAAAGCAGTGCATTTCAGACTGGAAGAGCAGGTAGCTAACTTGCCCTGCTAACAGAAACTCTATCTTAGATCCAGTCTTCACCACACATGGCTGGGAGGTAGACACGAGCTAGCTGGCCTTCCACCATCCAACCTGCAGTCACACAGCAAATCGCAGCACACGGGCTCGGGAAGCAGTACGTACTGGACGGGGTGGGTACTCTATCTGCTGGGACAACCACATATAGTCCGTAACCGATGGATGGACAGACAGGACACTGGCTTACAAGTCAAACAGATGAAGCATGTGAAGTATGAGAACAAGTACACTTTTCACTCTGACCCCCAAATTTCTCACCACCCCCAAGTCTCCCACCTGCCAAGAGCCTTGAAATAAGAAGGATGAAAAGTCAAGACAGAAAGCAGTGAAGACAAACGGCTCGACTTTACAGTCAGGTGTGGTGAGCTGAGAGAAAGGAGGGCAACAGAACAAAGAGCAAGCAACTTCTACAAGATCCCCAAGGACTTCAGGCAGGCTTCATCAGGATTCTAACTTCAAAACTCGAACTGGGTGAGGTGTACAGTGGTGAAACCACACAAGCCCTACAGGTAACCGTTTGGGAGATCACCGTCCACCCGCCCTGCAACACATTTTACAGGGTTCAGTTGAAAGGGAATTCTGCATGTTTTTAATCACTGGCTCTCAGGTGTAACTTCAACACAGGACTTTTTAATAAAACTTCCAATTTTCAGCGTTTCTAAAATTCCAAAGAGAATTTTCCAGCACATTATTAAAATTTACTGGTTCTTTCTGTCATTTACACAAAACAAGCTCTCCCCTGGTTTTGATACACACCATGAGAATAAAATAGTGGAAAAGGTAGGTATCTATCAGGGCAAGCAGTGATTATAATGCTTATTAAATGTCATGGAACTGGGAGGAGGGAATATGATCAAAACATGTAGGAAACTCTCAGAGAACTAAAATAAATTTAAAAAGACATGCAACTAACAAGAACTAAGAATGAAATAGGAAATATTTTCACGGAAGCAGCTGGCTTCAGTACAAGTCAAATCGCTTCGGTAACCAACGTTCTAACAGGCAGAGCAGTGGCGCCAGCCGAGAAGGCCAGCATCCCTTCTCCCTTTCTAGTGCTCCAGCCCTGCCGCTGGGATTCCAGAGACCTTCACTCCAGGCTTCCTGGGAGGCTCAGCCATGGGAAGCCCCTCCTCACTGGTGCAGCGTCATGACCCAGAGCCTTTCTCTCTCTTCTCCCAACTGACGTCCCCCCAACGCCCCCTTCCAAACTCTCCCCAGAGTCTTGGGTTCTAGGGTGTTTCCCCAGCACCTCTCCCAGAGCCCAATCAGGAGCAGACACTGGAGTGAGTAAGAACAGCCCTCCCCAGCAGGCACTCTGTGATTCCCATAGTACTGTGAAGGCTGAGAAGAGTCCCGGCGGCCCTCCATGCACCATTTCCCCACAGAAACACCAAAGCACAGGTAAATTCCACTGACTCAGCAGTACAACAGTTCAGCTACATTACAGATTAAGTGGCTTTTGTAGCAGTCTGAAGAACTTGTTCCTATGGGAGGATTCGTTCTCTGCCATAATCAACTATTTATACACTGAAATTCAATCCCATCCATAAAATGAGCACTGCCTATATACAGCACATGCTCTGAAGAACCTTTTAACCCAATTTTACAATGACTAAGAAAGTACAGCTGTGGTTTGAAGTTTGTTACTCCATGCCAAGAGAACAGAGAGATTTTTTCCTACTAGCCTGTTTCACATTCTTTCTTAAACATGCTATGTACACTCCTTCCCATTCCAAATAACCATTATACTATGACCATAATACACTGCAATACACAGTATAATTTACCTTCACATATTCTCTCTGTAACATGAATTTAATAATATCTGTTATTGATTCTTTAATATCAGCAGGAAGATTCTGAAAAAGAAAAAAACATAACAAGTTTTGGAAGCTACTGTATGTAGTGAAAACTACTTATTCTAAATCTATATATTCTGATTTAAAAAAAAAAAAAAAAACAAAACAAAAAACAACCAAACATGTATTTAAAGTATTTTCCAGAAACCTCACCCTTTTCCGGAGCTTTCTGAAAAGTGGTCTGAGGTAGGACTCGGTCTGCTTCTGCGTAGCACTGTTCAGTTTGCCCTGCACGCTGCGTTTCACATAATCCTCTCTGGCATTCAATTCTTTAGCCCAAACGCCAAGAAGAAACTGTTGACAGAAAAAGTTAAGGCTGCAATGCCACCCAGTGGAAAAGCTCCCTCACACAGCGATGGTACACAATCATCTTCCTTACAACATTGTCCTTGCTGATTAAATTAGCGTCAAATAAGATTTCATTAACAAACAAGTTCTGTTTGTTTTATCATGTGTTTCCAAGTAAGAAACACTGCCAGTACTACTACATTGTGAAGATGATCCATTTCCTCAGAAAAGAGATACAAATTCCTTAATGACCGGATTAAACTTCCACTGTATTTTTACTTGTATCCATTACACATAGTTCAACTAATCTAGAGTTGTCAACTATACCAGTGTTTCTCAACCTGTGGGTCTTGACCCCTTTGGGGGAGTTGAATGACCCTTTCACAGGGCTCACTTATCAGATATCCTGCATATGAGATATTTATGATTCCTAACAGTAGCAAAATTAGTTATGAAGTAGCAACAGAAAGGATTTTACAGCTGGGGGTCACCACATGGGGTTGCAGCATTAGGAAAGTTGAGAACCACTGATCTATATTATGCACACTTTGATATTTGATCAATGTTTGAAGTATCTTATATATATCTTGGACTTTTTGCCTACCAGAACAGAAAATTCAATTAAAAAATCCCATCAACACACCCAACTAATGGTGAAGGAAGAAAAAAAAGGAACAAAAATAAAACTATGATCCAGCCTTCTCACTCCGGGTTTAACTGGACTCTCCTTCCAGAGGCAGGTGACAGTGAGGACAAGGGGACATGGCCCTCTCTGCTGCGACATGAGGACAGACTATCAAAGAGGGAAAGTGTGCTGCTGCCTGCACTGTCTAGTTCACACTGCAGCCTAGATATAGTCTAGAACCTTGACAAACAGACGCTGCATGCAAAACATAAATACTTTAGCTGGCCAGCAGTGGTGCACGCCTTTAATCCCAGCACTTGGGAGGCAGAGGCAGGCAGATCTCCTTGAATTTGAGGCTAGCCTGCTCTACAGAGCAAGTTCCTGAACAGCCAGAGCCACACAGAGAAATCCTGCCTTGAAAAACACCATAAAAATTTAATAACAAACTAAGTAAAATAAAATGTAAACACAAATAAAAGGCCTCTCTGCACTAAATCTCCCAGTACGCAGACAAATATTGAAGTGAATTTAGGATCTGACCACACTCTACCTAGATGACTCAAAAGAAATGCTGACAGCAGACACAGAACCAGTGACCAGCAGTAAGAAATACACACAGAACTCCAGAGACGGGCCTTGCTGCAAAGTTAAGGTATTTACTTTTGCAATGCCAATGCCCTTCCTCCACCCTCCCCTGACAGCCTTGGGATCGCCTGTATGGCACTCACTTCTCTCTAGGGTAGTTATAGAGAATTCTACAAACTTGGTGTTCACTTCGCTGCTGCAATCATTTTCTACGGAAAGTCCCACAAGAACGCAGACACTCATTAACCACTGCATGAACAGTGATGGGGACTCCAGTGGCACAGCCAGTAAGTACCAGGTACTTACACGACAGTACAAACGCTTGACAATTACCCTATCCAAACATATCCACAAGCGTAAGACTGCTTCTTCCATGTCCACAATGCTCTCCCTCCCTAAGTACACACCTTCAGGAACTTGGTGATGATGTCCATGTCCTTATGATCGTCACCTTTCCCTAAGGATTCCCCCAGTGCCTGAAGAGAGAGAACAAAACTTCTGTTCACTAACACAGAACAATTTTTAAAAAGGTGTATCAGAGTGTGTGTATAACCAACAATAGGTTAGAAGACGTTTACCACACATATTGACAAATTTTTATTTTAAAATTTGTTGAAATTTCTAGACAAGTCATACACAAACAAAAAACCTGACTGCATACTTACATTCGGACACTGTGCTACCTTTGACAAAGAGAAGAAGAGTCAGCACAATGGCTCGGTGGATAAAGGCAATTGCTGTCTGATGATGCAGGCCGAACAACCTGAGTTCAATTCCCAGAACCCAAGTAAAGGCGGATAGAGAGAATCAAGTCCACAAAATTGTCCTCAGAGCTCCACACACATGCAGTGGCCAAAGTCCCCCACAAAACATCATGTGCACGCCATATATATCCACAATAATAGTTTTAAAACATCGTAAAGGCTTTTATTATTTTTAGCTATGTATCTGTGTTTGGATATGTGCATAGAGTACAGGTGTTCACAGAGACCAGAGTTCAACATGGGTGCTGGGAACCAAACCTGAAAGAACAGTGCATGGCATTCTTAACAGCTGAGCCACCTTGCCAGCCCCAATTTTGTAAATTTAATATAAAATATCAGTGAGTGTTAACAGATCTGGGCATTTCTCCTAGGTAGGTAAAAATGGCCAAAAGTCAGATTACGCTGGTGGCAAAAACACCCTGTGGATATATATTATAAGCCATTCAATTGTACACTTTATTTGGGTGAATTATATAGGGTGAAAATATCTCAATATCATTGTTTAAAAAAGAAATAGCAAAGGAAGGGAGAAGGAAGAGAGGGAGGGAGGGAACAAGCCTGACTGACAAGTGACTGCTCACTCCAGTTATTTAGGTAACAGTTACACACCACCTTAAACAAGGGATGTGAAGGGAGGACCGTAAACCGACCACCTCTCAACCACGATCTCCAATGAGATCACTACATGGTCAGGAGCCAGAAACTAAAGAAAACAGAAGTAACAGCTTATGTTGTATTCAATATTAAAAAACAAACTTTAAACTGTATGTTACATGCTAGACACTTACATGACACAATATTGTTTCTTTATGAAGATTACACATATCATTCCACATGCAGCACACGTGACAGAATCAGGAGGCTACATGGTGCCAAGTGTTGGCAGGAATGCAGGAACACAAGCCCCTCAGTGCTACTTGTAGGGTTACACACCGAGACAGCATGGCTGAGAGCAGCTGGGCAGGACTCAAATGAAATATGTCCGGATAAGCCCCATAATTCTGCTTCAGTCCATGTCTGTGGCTAAGGAGGAGCTGAGGGCAGCCACACTGTCCACTATAACAAGGAAACTAAAAGTAAAATATAGGAATGCCGTAATATATGGCCAATTCAAAGAAAAAAAAAAAACATACAAATGTGGGTCTTAACAGTATGAAATTGGGGGGGGGGCAATAAAATAAAGATTACCACAACACAGTATTACTTTACATGCACATAAAAACTGCAAGCTTTACAAGAACATCACAGCAAATAAAAGAATGCACATCAAACATTACAATGATTGTTTATGAAGGTAGGAAATACAGAAATGTGAGTGAATGAGAAAAAAACAAGACCTAAAACAAAAAAGTGCCTTCAGCGACAAAGGAGTATACTGTGTAGGGACACTGCTCCTGAGGAGGAAGGGATGCTGGGGAACAGGCTGCACTGGGCAGAGAGTACCTCGAGCTCTTCAATGGTGGTGTTTTCCTCATGAACTTTCAAGTCATTCTGTGTGTCCTCCTCTCCAGGTTCCTGACCACCCACAATTTCATTCAAGTACTGCTGGTCAATCTTATCCAAAGCTGCTTTCAGATCATTCCTTAAGCCCTACAGAAGGCGAGAACAAGAAAGGCACCAGTTAGGAAATTTCACCAGGGTATGATCTGTGATCTTTCATTAATATCAAGTACATTCCAGGCTGAGATGCAGCTCGGTTAGCAGAGTGCTTACCTAGCATGCACAAAGCTCCCCAGTACTTAGAGCCTGGGCATGGACTAAACACCTGTAGTCCCAGCACTGGGAAGGTAGAGGCAGAAGGACCAGATGGTTCAGTTTGAGACCAGCCTAGGCTACATAAGAACTTGTCTCAACCTTCCCCTCCCAAACCCCACCCCAAAAAGTACATTTCATGTTAAGGGCTTGTCAAAACTAGGGACTCAAACAATTCAATTCATTATACGAATACTAGCATCACTCAAAAGTTAATTATTATAAATATATTTAAAAGAATGTATGCACATTGTCCAGTCTAATGCTAAGAAAGAGAAAACAGACCTGAGTTACAAATCTAAAAATTGGTATCAGCAAAGCCATTATGTTCAAATAATGAAGTTTAGTGAAATTGACGGGTCTCCGACCACAGTCTCCCCATTTACTCTTTGGAGGAGAGCAGCCCTCAGAAGAAGACAACAACCATTTCCATCTAATCGCAATCACATGAAGACCTTAGGCAAAGGACTGCCTAGCTTAGCCATCAAATGTCAGAACTGACTTTGTCTAGTGTCATTAAAGTTACAAATAACCAAGAAAGACTTGAGATTAATAAACTGCTTCATAACATCAAGTTTTGGGAAGGTCTGTTATACAGCCACAGAAAACCACACATCCTTTTCATTAACGAACAGAGTAAGTAATAAAACGTTAATGAAGCCCCAGAAGAGCTGACCAAACACAGCCCTAACTGACACGTGTAGAACCAAACAACCAAAGCAAAACCACAGCCTTTCAGGAATGATAGAACGGACCAGATGCTGAGCACACACACATGACCAGAGCCTCCCACCTAAAATCTAAAACTGTTACTCCTAAAAGAAAACACAAAACATCTCTTCAAGTCCTTCACATATGCAAAGAATTCTCAAGCAGAACACAAAAACCAACAAGCAAAAGAAAAATTTTAAATTAAATTTAAAAACAGTCAATTGGGACTTCATCAAAATTGAAAACGTATGCTCAGCAACGCTCCATAAAAAATAAAGTAAATAATTCACAGGCTAGGAACAAATCAGTCAAAAAAATCCTATCTGTGTACATAACAAAGGGCTTATATCCAGCACATATAAGCAGCTCCTAATTAATAAAAAGACATTAATAAAAGACAAGCAATTCAATTACTTCAATGGTGGTGTTTTCCTCATGAACTTTCAAGTCATTCTGTGTGTCCTCCTCTCCAGGTTCCTGACACTTACATGATACAATACTGTTTCTTCATGAAGATTACACATTTCATTCCAGATGCAACACAGTGACAGAATCAGGAGGCTACATGGTGCCAAGTGTTGGTAAGGGCTTTTCTAAACTTGGATGGTTAATCTTGTTGATGGAATTTATAGAAGCAAATCTCTGGGTATAGCTATGATCATCCAGACTGGGTTAGTTGAGACTGGACACCCACACTAAGTGTGAGTGGTATCACCCCATGGCCTGTGGTCCCAGATGGAACAAAGAAGAAAAAGAGCCAAATGCCAGCACACATCCCTCTGTTCCTGACTGTGCTTGCAATGTGACCGACAACCTCCTGCCTTCCTGCCCAAACGAACAGTATTCCTTCAAAGTGTCACCTAAATAAACAGCTGACCTGAAGCTGCGTTTGTTAGGTACTTCTCCCAGCAATGACACAAGACAGACACTGGACAAGAGAAGGTAAGGATGAAAAAATGCTCGTTATCTCCAGTCATCAGGGACATGAATAAAATCGTGAGGTTTTACACATACAAGAGAATGGTTTAAATTCAGGAGTCTAACAATACCATGTGCTGATCTTTAGAAATGTCTGACACTTCCTATAAAGCATGCACTTATTCTTACCATTGAGTAATGCTACTTGTAGCTATTACCCTGAGAAAACCTATTTACTTCGGAGAGTGGGGAGACTATATACCTACTCCTCCTCGAATAATTGCATATGAGTATTCATGATAGTTTTATTCACAGTAGCCCAAAACTAGAAACAAACTGTGGTACAGTCATATAACTAAATATAACTAAGCAATAAAAAGGAAACTATTCACAACAGCATAGATAGCACTTTAAAAAATGTCATGCTGAGCAAAAGAAACTAGATATTCACTCTTGAGTCTATCCATATGAAATACTAAAAATGTTAAATACCAAAACAGGAAGTAAAACTTAATTCACGGTGTCTTAATTCAGAAGGCAGCTGCCTCGGAGCAGAGAAGTGACGGGGCACTGGGTGATGAACATATTCTTTATCCTTATATGCTCACATGCGTTTGTCAAAATAGATCGATCGGTACGCTTAAGATACATACTTCCCTTACTATGCCGGGCGGCGGTGATGCACACATTTAATCCCAGCACTCGGGAGGCAGAGCCAGGAGGATCTCTGTGAGTTAGAGGCCAGCCTGGCCAGTGACAGGCACCAAAACTACACAGAGAAACCCTGTCTTGAAGAAAAAAAAAAGGTAAAATTACTTCAGCAGCACTAAGATGACACTATTCTCCCATATTTGCCTATAAAAATGCAGCGAGTCAAATCCCACATTACTCCGGCTCACGAAGTACTGTCCTATGCTGATCCTGTTCCTTGCATTCGCCTACAACAATGCAGTTAGTCAAATCTCACACTACTCCAGTTCACGTAGTGCCATCCTATGCTGACAGTTTACCATATTCGCCTACAATAATGCAATCAGTCAAACCCATGCTACTCCTGATTATGTGGTGGCATTCTATGTTCTTAGCTTTGTTCTGACGTCTCACCTTGTTAACTTCTGGTGTAAGAATCTCTATTTTTCTTAAACGCTGGAAAGCATCATAATCAGTTTCTCCAAAGAGTCTAATTGGTTCTCCTCTTTCTCTCAGTCTTCTGATGACCTATGAAGATACATAAAGGAAACTTCAAAGAGGGGAAAAAAAACACTAAATATCTCAAAACAATGTGTATATTTATCTTAAACTGAAACTTAAGTTTAATAAGTATAATTATGCAAATAAATGTTTCTAAGTAAAATATAAAATTCTTCAATTTTTTTTTTTTGAAAAATGTATTTGGGTGGGCAGTGAACCATGAAGTGTGTGCAGTGGTCAGAGAACATCTTATAGGAGTCAATTCTCTCTGCCCACCACGTGGGTACCAGGGATCCAATTCAGGTCGGAAGGCTCCACAAGCAAGTACATTCACCAGTCAGTCAGTATGACAGCCCCAAGATCCTTCAAGTAAGTTTGAATCATGTATCTCATAATAGATATTTGTGAATGAAAGGGGAAAATACTTTAGATAAAGTACTATTTCGACTCAAGTATCTCATACATTCTTTTACTGAATAATTCCTATCAAGTTGTTTGACGTATGAATCTATAATGCAAATCTAAAGCAAGCCCTTCATGTCAGCCATCTAGATTTAGACACACAGACATAGACACACGTACACTTGTCAGGACACAGTGTAAGTGACACACTGTGGGCCCTTGTGTCAGGTATTAGGACTGCTTAGTCCTTTTTAAGCATATGTTAACACATATGTTAGTGTCCAAACACTATTTTGAAATAAAGATTTAAAAAAAGAGCCAGGCGGCGGAGGCACATGCCTTTAATCCCAGCACTCTGGAGGCAGAGCCAGGAGGATCTCTGTGAGTTCAAGGCCAGCCTGATCTACAGAGTAAGATCCAGGACAGGAACCAAAACTACACGGAGAAACCCTGTCTCGAAAAACAAAAACAAAACAAAACAAAAAAATCTGTGTTTGCACCAGGCAGTGGTGGTACACACCTCTAATCCCAACACTCAGGAGGACGCACAGGCAGGTGGAGCTCTGGGAGTTCGAGGCCAGCCTAGTCTACAGAGTGAGTTCCAGGACAGCCACGGCTGTTACACAGAGAAACTCTTCAAAAACCAAAATAAAAAAAAGCAAAAATCTGTGTTTGCTCTTCCAGGATTTCTTATGATAGACATGCTATATGTTAGGATGACACTTTAAGCAACTAGTAGTTTACATTTACATTAAATGTAAATGTCTTTACATTTAATCTTATCCACAATTAGACATGTTAAAACACAGATATATTTATGAGGCATCATAAGAACAAAAGATCACTGAGTTAATCAAAACTTAAAAGAACCTAAAATAGAAAAAACTGAGCTTATTACTTTAAAACACTGTTTCCAACTGGAGACTATTAACAACAAACGAAGTAACTATAAATTATGTAATACTTCTGACATCTATTTAAATAGGGAATTCCCATCTACCGGGATTATAACACAGTGGTTACGCCTAAAAGCAAGCAATAAACTAACTGTTCTCAAAATGTGTAAGAATTCCATCATTCTAAATTATTAAATGAGGAGACGTGGGGGCCAGTGAGGTGGCTCAGTGGGTGAAGGCATTCGCCAGCAAGCCTACCACCCAAGTTCACCTCTGAGCCGCACATGGAGAAGGAGAACCGACTGCTGCAAGCCATCTTCCTCCCCAAGTGCAAGCAAGACAATCACTCTACCAACTGCGATAAAAGGCACACGTGTACAGTCACGCCTGTGAGGACTGGGAATGGAAACAGGAGAGCAGAGAGGACAGAACACACAATGTATGGAAGCCACGTTCATTTAGTTTTTTAGATTTACTTATTTTCTGTATGTGAGTGCTCTATCTGCAAGCCAGAAGAAGGTATCAGATCCCATTATAGATGGTTGTGAGCCACCATGTGGTTGCTGGGAATTGAACTCAAGACCTCTAGAAGAGCAGCCAGTGCTCTTAACTGCTGAGTCATCTTCCAGCCCCAATCCATGTTTATTTTATGCATTCTTTAACATATAGTTTGAATTCTTCATGTCATCTATGTTCATTTGTTAAGTAAAATAATAGTTGAAACAGATCAGACTGTGGATAAACAACTACAGATCAGACTATAAACTAGAAAACATGTTGCAAATGTCTACAAAACCATTTGATAACATGCATTTTAAACAGACCTTTAAAACACAAAAAGTCAAGGCTGCAGCGATGGCTCAACGGTTAAGGGTACTTGCTGCTCTTGTAGAGGACGCTGGTTCAATTCCCAGCACCCACATGGTAGCTCACAAACATCTGAAACTCCAATTCCAGGGGATCCAATGCCTTCTTCTGACCTCCACAGGCACCAGGGACACACATAAGCACACCTACATGCATGCAGCTAAAACACTCACACACATAAAAATAACAATTAAAAAATAAAAAGTATGTATGTATGTAAACTAAAAACCACCAAGAACTTCATCTGGATAAATTTCCAAATTTCTTACTAACTTTCACATGGTAGCTGCAAGAGTGTTTGCCCTAAAAACCATACTTCTAGAAGCCTTTCCAAGGGACATAATCCTAATTACATAAGCAATAATGTCTCATTAGGTGTCACTCATAAGGAAATGTTGAACCAATCTAAATGACAAAGAAAAGAAACTGTTTAAAAGCGTAATAGTAAGCCGGACGGAGGTGGCGCACGCCTTTAATCCCAGCACTCGGGAGGCAAAGCCAGGCGGATCTCTGTGAGTTCGAGGTTAGCCTGGACTACCAAGTGAGTTCCAGGAAAAGGCGCAAAGCTACACAAAGAAACCCTGTCTTGAAAAACAAAAACAAAAAAAGCATAATAATAAAAATCCAGCCCCCGGGAAGGGGAGGCAGGAAGATGCGTATCATGAGGCAGGCTGTGATACATATCAAAATTCAATCCAGCCTGGGCTACACAAAACTCTGCCTAAAAAAACAAAAAAAGGAAGAAAAAAAACATGGTACAAATACATGAAGAGAAATTATACAGACATTAAAAACTATGCAACACTAAAGAAAAAGAGGAGGGAAATTATACAGATCTATGTTTTAATCTGAAAAAACGGACCAGAAAATAAGAAGAGAAGAAAACAGCAAAACAGTATCATTTAAATAATTTAGATAATAACAAGTACAATTACTTAGATTATACTTATTTAAAATACATTCTTTGAAAAAGAAAGACTACTGGCTGGTGGAGCTGGCTTGGTGGGTAAAGGCACTTGCTGCACAAGTCTGGTGACCTGGATTTGATGCCTGGAACGCATGGAAAGGTAGAAGGTTCAAAGTAATTGCACGTGGTTGTCATCCACGGATACATCGTACACTCACACGATAATGATAAAGTGTGTGTGTGGAGGGGGTTATGTCTGTGTTTTCCCTGCATGTAGTCTGTGTACCACACAGGAGGCCAGAAGAGGGCACTGGATCCCCTGAAACTAGAGTTACAGAGTGTTGGGAGCCATCACCACGTGTGCGCTGGAATCCAATTCTGGTCCCTGGGGAAGCAGCCACTCCTCTTAAGCCCTGAGCCATCGCTCCGGCGGCTCCTGTCTTTATTTTGAAATGAGAATACTATCAAAGGAAGCAGAGACTTACAAGTTCGTGAAAAAACTGTCTGGCTACACTAGGTTTAAGTCAAATCATCGTATTTTGGAAATAACATAACTTATGTGAGTACAGTGCAAATTGTTTTCTTTCTGGCTATAAAAGACTCAAATATAACCTTACCTCTTGCCTAGAAAGAGTCATGGGAAGTTTTTCCTCTGCCAGTTCAAGTTCCAACACTGGATTTGATGATGTTAGTGGCTTCTGGTCATCCTCTTTTGGCTGTATCTATATTAATAGCCCAAAGAAATAAAATTTAAACTTGCCAGCATATTTCTATTCACCATCTATCACCTTAGCTGTCCACATGAAATATGAGTGTTTATACTGAAGGTCTAACTACCTGTTCTTCTGAGCTAAGGCTGCAGAGTAACCGTGCATGCTTTCAAGAGCTGATCAAACATCCATTTCAGGAACATGGCACATGGAAAGCATGCACGTGGGAGAGCGCATTCTTGCTCTAAAGGAGTGGCAAGACTACAGCCATTTCTGAAACAAAAACTCAACAGTGCCGAAATCTGAACTCAGTTTCTCCCCAGATGCGAAAACAGCCCACATCTCTCTTGAAAACAATCCATTTGCCTCTCCTCTGTGAGAAAATTATCTCGAGGGTTAGCCAATTGCTGCTCACCTTTAAAATGAAGACTAAAGAACCGCTTCCCAACAGAATCTGTGAAGCAGCATGCTAGACCTTCTCTATTTTGCTTCTTCAGACATATCACTCACCTTAGATAAACCACTACTAGGCATGCTGAAAATGCTTAGGGATGGGCACTACTGGACGACAAGATGAGCTGCCAACCTTGAGGAAGCAGAATAAAGACTGGAATGCCATCCAAGGAGTATGGACACCTTTGCTCATATGAACCTATGGGGGAAATGTCTTCATCTATTTTTTCGTATCTGGGCAGGAGTCTCAGTCAGAGACTGGGAAAACTGAGTCTGGCAATTTATAAGCCTGGAAACATACTCAAGTGTGGTTTCCATTCAACCACAAACTAAGTTTAAAATTCAGAAGTAGGAATAAGATTCAAAGAGACAAAGATCTGCTTTAAGAAACTACTGTCCCGTTAAGAAAATTTGTACAATAAAAATCATGCAATTCATGATTCTATAGCTTAGGTTAAAGGTAAAGTAAAACAGAGATTAAAAACTAACTTTTTGAATACTTACACAGGTCGGACCAGCATTAAGCCTTCAAAATGGGGTCTAGCTCCTACAAAGGAGTAAAAGCAGTACACACTATCCTGCCGCGACTCCAGGGAGGGAGGGTTGTTAAAGAGCAAAAAAGTTACCATTCTTTTTAATCACATAAGCAGGTATTTCTCCCATCTAAGAGCTGATGCATTTTTAATTATATAATGGCAGCTGGCAGCTCTGGGACCAAGATCCATGACATTGGGTCAGTCAGATTCAAGGCTACAGCACTACTGTCATAGAAATTATTTTGCTTCACCCCTTCTCCTTATATAAGAAAAAAGAAACAAAAAACAAAAAAAATAAAAAGACAAAAACCCTGCTCACATCACCAAAAGGATCTACACAAAGCAAAAGCTGCACTATATTAAACTATTTTCCTCCCTTCTCTAAAGGTAGCAAAGGTTCACACTTAGAGACCAAATCAGCAAAGAAGTGCATGATAAAGGAGTCTCACTCCAGGCCAAGCCTAGGCATGATGCTGGGCAAGCAAAGCATGAGAACTCTTCTTTCTGCATATCTGCTCAATGGTTATTTACATAGAACATCTTTTACTGTCCTAAACTAGAAGCAAATGAAGTTGGTATCTTTACAGAAAACTATCAAAATAAAAATATAAACTTTTAAACATCTATCTTTAAAAATATTTCTTTGATACTTGCCTTTTTCCAACAGTAAAAAAAATAAAGCCAAATGCATCTAGAGTGCATCTACATTCTTCATGCTTTCCTCTACAAATGCTATGCTATATAAATTAATTTCCAGAACTTCCTCCATTCCATGCACAGGAGTATTATCAAGTGTATGATTCAGTATATTTCTATAGACCCCGTTACTTGGGAGCTAAGAACATTAAACGAGTCCGCTTTAAAACAACTGAAAAAATTTCTCCACCCTCCCAAGAAAAACCCCAATTATCAACTAGCCAATGTGACATAGTGTTTCAGTCATGCATCTAAAGCACACAAAGGAAGCCTTTCAGACAGCTCATTTATTTCCAAACTCTTCTTCTAACAAATAGACTACACAGCATCACAAATGCTGCCCCATGTTTAAAACAAACAGAAGCATACAAAGGGCTGAGTACTCTGTTGCAGGCAGGAGTACTGGGCCTAAGAGGCATTATCAACAGATCTAACAGAAAACCAACTGCTTAAGGTGCTCAGGAGGAGCCAGAGACAACCCTGCTGCCAGTACAATCAAGGCTGAATGAATAGTGTTTTGAGTTCTTTCAAAACACAGTATTTTGCTGGGAGAGGTGGGGGGAGAGTGGTGGAGATGAAGATGAGGCAGTATCAGAACCAGGGCTTAATTAAAGAAAAATCAAGCTTTGATCTCAAGCCAGTTCATGCTGTCCACAGAAAGCCAAACCATTCCAAGCCAAAAGTCATGCATGTATTTTCCTGAATTCAAGATCTGTTTTTTTGTTTTGTTTTGTTTTTAAAGCCAAACCAAAACCAAAAATTCATACCTCTCCAGATGGCTTCTCATTTATAGGCTAATGTGTAACATTGATAAATTGAACAGAGATCAATAATTTTGTTATTTAACAACAGCTATATAAATTTAAACTCAGAAATATATGACTTAGATAAAACCTTGAACTTATACCTTGTAGCCACATCTTTCAAAATATGCTTCCTCTTCCTTTTTTGCAAGTTCACTCCGCTTGAAATATTTTTTATTTTCCTATCAAAGAAAAAAAAACAGTAAGTTAATAATGTATCCTTGGCAGAAATTCATGCCCCATAGTTATCAAGTACTCTTAGAAACCTTTGAAAACACTTCAGCTTTCAAGAATTTGGTAATGTTTTTAGTCCTTGAGACAATCACACTGGGCCCCTGTATGGAGGCCCCTCCACCAGAGGGCCTGTGTTCTGATGTGTGATAAACAGTATTCTACTTGAACTCTAATAGGAGTTCTCACAGCAGAGAATACACCACAGTATTTTCAAAATGTTTTTGTTTTCATTCACTTTCCTGACATCTAAGTTCAAAGATAATTTCTACAGACAGATTCACTAGGAACCACATAGAGATATCCTTTTGTTATTTTCTCCTAATCAGAACAGAAATTACGGCATATAGAGCCAGTTCCAAAAATCTCATCAATACGAGCACTCCAAAAGAATGTGTAAGGCCTCCTCACCTGGAATCAATCTTACCATATCAATTCTGGATTTCATTAGTTATAACTCCTCCTTTGTATCAAATGAAAATCTAATTCAAAATGTTCTTACAATGACCAGTATTAAATGAAAGACCATAAACTTTTAGAAGACAGCACCTTTACAATTTACTCAAATGTCTCAAGCAAGTAGAATGCTGGCTGGCTCACATGCCAAATAGTCACTTAACTTTTAAGAAACTGCCCATCTGTTTTCCCAACCAGTCACATTGTTTTAATCACCCAACAAGACACAGAAAACAATAACCATTAAAAAACTGACAAACTGAAGATAGGTACATGACTGCAGCCCCAGCACTTGGGAAGCTGAGGCATCAATTCAAGGCCGACTTGGATGATCTAGCAAGACTACGTAGCAAGAATTGAAAGAAAGGAGGAGAGGGAAAAGGAGGGTGAGGACGAAAACAAACTGTGCTCTATCAAAATCCAAAGCCGCTGGTGATTTCAATCTGGCTGAACCAAGCAATGCTCACCAGGCAGTGGTTGTGGCGAAGGTCTACAGGATCACATTCCTAATTGGTGGCCTGGCACTGTCACCTCAAGGTTCACCCTGACACCATGGTGGACATTTTTCTTCAGAAGTTGCCACCAGCAGCTACAAGATTCACTAACAGTTTCAAATACTTCTACCAGCTGCAGCCTGAGATGCTGCAGAGGATTTATGATGGCAAGTTTGTGACCCAGTTGAGGGCCCCCATCTGGGAGGAAATCTGGGACATCAAAGAGGAGGGGGAACCTGGAAGCTGTCATGAATGGCTCGGATAAGAGCACAGGGAAGTACCTTGGAGACCCAGTGGAATCCTATAGTACCCTACTTCCTGCAGCTCTGAACACTCTGCAGTGCTTCGTACAGAATCTGAGAAGACCAGGCACCAGGAGCTGGCTGACGCCATCCTGGCTGAGAGCAGGCAGGTCTAGGACCACCAGCACCCAAAAGGCTATATACAGAGAGCAGGCGGAACAGCCGGCTGACACCACCCTGCCCTGGTGCATGCAGGTCCAGGTATACCAGCATCTGTCATCTACATAGCCTATACAGGGAGAGCAAAGGAGTTACTGTCAGCTTCGAGGGCACCAGAGTGAGGAGATGGCTGGGATCAGAGCAGAGGGTGGTCAAAAGTTGAGGCCTGTGGTCAACATGCTAGGCCTGGGAGAGTGTTTTCGGGTATCACTGAAATAGTGTAGGGTGCCTAAGTAGTAATGAGGTCCTCACCGCTGCCACTGTGCTGCTGGAGACATGGACACACGGGGACAGGGACAAAAACACGAACAAACATGCAAGCATGCACACACCCCTTCTCAGATTCCTGGTGCAATGTTTTCTCTCCTGGAGTTTTAACTAGCATCTGTGCTCATCTCTCTGGTTCCTGACCACCACCACCACCCCCACCACCCCCATACACACCCTACCTGGCTGTTTTCCAATCTATACTGATTGTCTTGTTGTTGATAAGCCCAAGAGCCCTGCCATGCTCTCCCCCATCCATAAATATAAATGTCCTCTGTTACACACACACACACACACACACAGCTTTGACTCATCAAAAGGTACTATTAATGAAATAACAGATAGTCCAATCTGGAAGAAAATATCCAAAAGACATATACTTATGAAAGAAAGTGGTGAGATATATAAAGGAGTCCAGATAATAAATTTAAAAAAAAAAAAACTAATTTAAATTTGCAAGCTGTTTTAACACTTCACAAAAGATACATAAGCATCTAAAAAAATCACAGAAAAAGTACTTAACATAATTTATCAGGAAGATGTAAATAAGAACCACACAAATACCTCTCCACTGAGAAGGCTGGCAACATGAACTGCTGGTCAGAGTGCAGACAGGCCAACTCTCCGACACTGCTCATGGATATGTAACATGGTACAGCTATGTTAAAAACAACAGTGGCATGTCTACAGCTAGGCATACATGCACTCTATAACCTAGCACTTCCAAAGAGTCATAAAAACAAAGCTTCCCAAAAGGTTCAGAATTTGCTCAACCAAATCTTAGAAACGGTTCAAATACTC